GACGAGTTGTGCGAACCGGAGACCTTGAACTCTCGTCAGCGCAGTCTCTCTCTTCATCGAAGCCACTCACATTGAAAGTCGTCGCGTATGGGTCCCAGGTAGGGTCCAGGTGCGGCGCATACTCAATCACGTTGAGCAGGTAGTTGAGCGGTTGCGCGCCGTAGAATCTGCTCAAGAGGGCGTATGTCGCATCGAGACCTTTGTCATGTCAGTAATCGCGCTGTCGACGCCTCCGCGATGCGGTCCTTCCGATTGCACATACTAGACGCGGTTCCCGACGTAGTCCAGATAGTACCGTCCTCGACCCAGCGCGCTTGCGGCACCCACGTCACGTTCGGTCCGCGCTCCGTTATCCACGCCCACCCAGACTTGTTCGTTGTCGCCTTCTTGCCGTCGAGCACACCGGCGCTCGCAAGCGTCGCTACGCCGAAGCTTACGCCGACTAGGTACTCGAGCGAAGCGAGGCGCATCTTGACAAAGTCTGCCACCCCAGTGTCGTTGTTTTGGTCTAGGGTCACAACGCCGAGCCCACCGGGAACGAAGAGGATATCGAGCGCCGGCGCGTTCTTGAAGTTGTGGGTTGCTTCTACACGAGGCGCGATGACGTGTCCGAAGTCGGTTGGCGGCATGCTGTAGTCGTCAGGGCCGTATGGCTGCATGCCAGCGGGCACGAGACCAGTCTCTTCGGCGATGACGGAGAGGGTCATCTTGTTGAAGGCCGAGAGCTACACGGCCGCTGTCAGCGCTGAGACACGAGGAGTGTGAGTATCGTTGGGTTCATACAATGGTCAGCATCTCCATGGGGCCAAAAACATCCAGGAGCTCAAACCCGGGAAAGATGACCTGGAAACGGTAAGCGCATGAGGTCTATGACTTGCGAAGATATACGTACGAATCCGACGGAGAGGGTACGCATGGTGTTGAGCTCGGGTGTGAAGACGGGCGATGAGGTGTTTCCTGCTTGACACACCGCGGAGGGCAGCAAACAGGAGGCGAGCGCCACAGCCTGTCCAAAGAATCTGAGATTCATGATGTATCGTGAGTCCTGCGAATGAGCTAAGAGACAGTCGGCGTATGTGATACTGAGTAACCTCCGGTTCTTAACACTTGCTGAGCACGTAGCGAACAAGGTACTGCGAAAGAGTTCTTATATCCTCGCGCTCGCTGCTCACAGGCGTGTCGTCACTTCCCTATGTCTATTCCACAACAGCGCCATCTCCAGTCTCGCACTAGCCGCCATGATCCTTTGAGTCTAGGCGGGCGCGGCAGACAAGCCGAAGAAAAAGAAGAGGAGACGGGACGAAGATTTCGCTCAATCGAAGCGAACGAGGGTAAGAACCTGCAGGAACTCCCTCGCCGGGCGTAAGAGAGTGCTCGTGCGGAAGGCTTACATTCAGCATCACGACAGTGCTGCCTGCGCGGATTTGAGCACGTTTGCGGAACGTGAGCGAATATGTTCCCCGTGGCGTTCAGCCACAGCGATCTGTTATGCAGGTCGCAAACATGTCAGCTCTGCCGTGAGAGACCTTAGGAGATGATCTCTACATGGTCGTGTCGAGCTGGAGGAGGTTGTGTATCGTAAGTCTCCGGCGCCAAGGGCTTTGCCCAGGTTTGACAGCGGCCAAGCGAGCTGCCGCATGCCAACCAATCGAAGACTCACCACCTTCCTTTCTTGTGGGCTCGCGCTCGAATTTGAAGTCTTTTCGCGAGGAACTTTGGGTGTGTACCACCTTCCTTTCTGCTACAATAAAGTTCCCTCGGCTTTAGGTGGTGTCGGGCTCGCGTTGTCAGGCAAGAAACCTCAAACATTCACGCAATACTTTCCATGGATCAGAACAGTGACCCGTGGACGGGTTCGCTCGCCCTGGAAGTTGACGAGATGCGCCACTCGCTTGCCAGGCGCGTAATCAGGAAGGGCTTTTGAGCTGAACATCGTGTTTTGGCAATGCTGGCAGCTGTCCTGCCCCGCCTTTCTCCTCTTCCTCGCTCAACCGCAAGATCATCCTCGACTTTGGGGCTCGTGGCAGCGGCACCTTGTATCGCATCAGAAACGCATCGCTGTCGCGCGACAAACGCGCAGCGACACCCACTTCGCGCGCCATTGTCAGTCACTTACGATGTCCGGCGCTCCACCCCCACTCCCGCCGCGGCCTCAGCAGCCGGTGCCTCCACCATCAGGCTGGACCGAACACATGTTCTACACGAACGGATCGCCCACACCCGCGTTCGAGGCGTTGATGAAGCAGTTCTTCGCGAAGCTTGATCCCAGAGGCACCGGGTACATAACGCCAGAGGCATTCTCGAGTTTCGCAGAGGTATCGCGCTGCCCGGATCCTGACAACATTTGTAAGTACTCTGCTACGCGCGGGCGAACAGTTCACTGTACGCAGGTTGCGCAAGAACGACTGCTGACTCTCCCGTGTTTTGACGGTAGGGAAGAGAAGTCTTACCCATGGCGGCATGTTCGCGAAAGAAGACATGGCAGACTATGAGTTCAAGAACGTGATGGAAGGCTTCTTCTTCGATCACAAGGTCGTGACGCGCAATCCGGGCGCGCCGCAGCTACCATACGGCGGCATGCCTCTTCTCAGCTTGGCCGGGTTCACAGATTGGATTGGATTCAGTTGCGCGGCGCATCCCGACGGCATCTTTGTGGTCCCTGGGTTGAACAACGCGCTGCGGGTTTACAATGTCTGGCCGGAGCGTGGGCCTTTGCCGCGATGGATCTTTCCTCCGAGTCGGCCGATCGAGGTGCAGCAGCGCATGGATCAAGCGACTCAACGTTGCAATATGAACGCGCAGCAGAAGCTCAGAGCGACACAGGTAGAGGCTGAGATAAAGGCGCAGGGCCGACAGCATGCCATTGATCTGGTGAGTGATACTTATCGAGTCTATCGGTACTATTGAGATTATAACGCGAGTACACGTGGTATGTTTCTTTCCTCTGCGGCTTGAGCTTCTTCCTTCTGCGTCTCCAGCTTCGTCACTTTGGGCCTTCAGCTTCTTCGTCTTGTACCTCAGGCCCTCCGCGATGCAGACGCGTGGCAAATCAAATACATTCCTCCTTGTTGTACCCCAAGCCCTCGCATTCTCATCGAGTAGACGCAAGCTCCGACGGCGGTACATGTGGCGAAGGAAGTTCCTGCGACCAAGTCGGTGCACTGTTGTATGGCTTTGTGTCCCGGTCGACTGCGTGATGTGCCACCGCAACACCAGGTGGCTTCTCGTACTGCTGCGCTTCAGCTTCGGGTTGATAACTCATTCTCGCCTCCATGTCTTTCGTCTTGCGATGACGACGGTAGAACAGGAATGCCGCTGCTGCCACAAGTAACGCGCCCACCGCGACACCAGCACCGATACCAGCCTTTGCGCCAGTCGATGAGCCGCCGCTGCTATCTGCACCTGTTGTGGGAACATCGATAGGCCCTGTGGGTGTGGGTGTGGGTGTCGAAGGAGTCGTCGGTACTGTACTAGCAGGGCTCGAGACCGCGGTCGTAGATGACATCGTCATTGGTATTTGCATTGGCGTTGGCGAAGACGATGACTCGCTGTTCAACGCTACGGTCGAAGACAAAGCGAATATCGATGCAGCTTGAGAAGAAGTGGCTGACGTAACGCCTATCGTCGCACCTCCGATATTACCGGCGCCCGCTTCTTCCATCGAAAGCACACACCCTGCGGGAAGAGACCAGTCATCGAATCGTCGGGACAGGTAGATTGGCGACCATGCTTCGGTTCCGTTCTGATTGATTACTATGCTGAAGCCTTCATTCTATGTTAGCGGAGCTGCGACGATAAGAGGGGCTGTGGTGGATCTCACTTTCTTCGTCCCCTGCTTCGATATCGCCTCGTTCATAGCATTGGATCACGAGTGTGTCCGCAAAGGTCGACCACCAGTCTACCACCACTGAGTCATCGACATTGAGGACCACACGGTGCTCCTCGCGCGGGTAGTTGAAGGCACCTGACATATTCAGTCGCTTTCGGCGAAGCGAGGTTGACGAAGAAGGGAGAAAGAGAAACTGAGGAGTTACACGGAATAACAGCAAGATCGTTGCGCACAAGTGCTGCTGCTGCGGCTTTGTAGGAGCCACTGATCCGCCTATCTCTACCTCGCATACTCCTAGCTTTATTGCCAGCAAGTCTTTTGCAGCCTCGATCGATAGCGCGCGAATCCCGAGGCGAAGTGGCGTGAGGCTGAGAGCGCAGTGTAGCGAAACGGCCCCCATTCAGTACACTAACGGATGTGCAAGCGAGTTGCTTTTTCATGATACCGAAGGGAGAGGAACGCCATGTTGAAGCCACAAGAAGTCGGCATGCCATGTTCTGTCGTTGCCATTATGTGGAGTGGGTCCACGATGCAGCACGATGCGGGACATTATGCCGCAGGCCTGGGCAAGCTGGTAGAAGTCGGGACGGTGTCGCGCATCGTCAAGCTGGCAGAGGCCGCTGATTTAGGGTTCTGGAGTTCGTTACGTTGTGAGTCCAGATAAATTGGCACGAAGGTCATTTTGGATGTTTGTTGTTGAGGGGAGCTCAAGATTGCTTCTGTGAGGCTGAGCCGTAGCCGAAAACGCGGGTGGTGGCCACCTCACATGGGCTGCGCTATACACTTGGCATCGTCGGCAATTGGCGGGTTTCGAAAGCACAGCGATCCAGACAAGGCTTCTGGGCTTCGCGCTCGAGCCTGGAGCCTTTTGAGAGGAACCTTGGGCACGCACGTTGCGGGGGTTGGGAAGTCGGAGATGGTGGATGGGCAGGGCTGCTGTCGCTTCGCGTGGGGTGCAGACACGCTTCTGAAGACGGGTAAGAGGCAATCCCAGTCGGGCTGACGACATTTTCTGCTTCCGTTCTCTAGTCATGACCTTCAGAAGGATGCAGGTGGGGCAATTGAAAGAGAGAGTATATAGTGATACTATAACCGCGAAACTGATCAAGATCTCTTGAGAGCGCAGCGCGCAGCGCGCAATACTAGCAGCCGTTAAACCCTAAGCGCACGTCTAGGAAAGCTGCACCGGTACCTGCGGCGAAGAATGAACCTGCGACATTGTAGCCTCGCTGTACGGCCTCTCGTATCCATTGCTTCCATGAGGCGCGACCGCAACACCCGGAGGCTTGTTGAATTGTTCGGCCTGAGATTGGTAGCTAAGTCGTGCGTTGAGGTCTTTTAGCTTGCGATGGTTGCAGTAGAACAGATATGCAGCCGCCGCGACAAGCAACGCGGAAACACCAATACCGGCGCCGATGCCAGCCTTCGCTCCTGTGGACAGACCAGCACTGTCGCTCGAGGTTGTGGTGACGACTGGGTTGGTGGGCGTCACGGTTGGCGGTGCTGTATTGCCTGTGTTGGCGGGGGTTGATGCGGTGCCCGAGGCCGGCGCGCTTGTCGTGGTCCGCTCATACGTGACGGTCGACGACAAAGCAAAGATCCATGCGGGCTGAGTTGCAACGGAGCTTATGGTGACTGAAGAGGCGTAGATAGTCGTGGTTCCACCTCTCTCATAGAACTTGATACCGCACTCGACAGGCTCGCTCCAATCTTTCACGTCCTGCTCCAGCATCGGCAGCGACAGATCTTGCGTGCCATTCTGCGGAATGTCGTACTCGAATACTAACATCTCGTCAGGTCAAACATGATCTTGAAGATATGTTGTGAGGGCCGCACTGTAACCTAGATCTGGGTTGTTGTCGTTCTCATAGCACCAGAACTGCCGTCGCTCGGCAAATGTTGACCACCACGACACCTCCACCTTGTCATTGACATTGACATAGAGTGGAACGATCGGATAGTAGAAGTCTCCAGACATGTCGGAGAAGTTTTTGTGCGGATCTTCCGGTACGAGGCAAAGTGTCGCGATCTAGAGCTGAAGCAGGCAGGGCAAGCGGGCAGCCGTCAGCAAGTGCAAGGGGCATACCTTTATACTTACGCGCAGCAAACCTATCTTCGGTTTCTCGTACGCTAACAGCAGCCTGGGCCGACTATTGCGAATCACGATGCGAAGTGGCGCAAAGCTGTGGTATCATACAGCGAAATAGCCCCCGATCGACACACGCTTGATGCCCAGGGACTATTTTCACTTCGCGCAACGAATAAGATGACTGTCAGGCGCAATGACATGGCCATGTGACCTGTGATACGACACTTCGTCAATAGCTGCGGGAAGTGGAATTCTCTATCGCAGTGTTGTCGATTGGCGGACAGCCTGGTGCGGGAAAGAAAGTCGCGAGCCTTGGACGAAGTCTAGAAGAGTTGCAGCGTCGTCGCAAGTCTTGAAAGCAAGAGAATATAGAAGGATATGAGCTTTAGCGACATGATGGGTTGCGCTCGAAGTATCCTGATGGTGAGATGTTTCGGGTCATCTGGGTTGGCAATAGGTGCACCAACACAGACAAGGCTGATGTCGGACCAGAAGGCTGAGCTATAGCAGAGGTACCGATTACCTTGCATGCGCTGTACCGCTCGCTGGTCACCTTTTTCTATCGACGCATCACGCGCGTGAGAAGTAGTTGCGGCAGCTCAAACTAGCCTCAACCGACGTACGTTGAGCGTCCCGCTCTTCAGCTCGTCTGCAATCTCGCCATTCATTTTGCCATGTACAAAGCCCTCGCCGACAACCTGCCACACAGCTTGCGACGCAGCTTTTCGCAAGACGAGCGGGATGCTGCAGCCGAACATGACAGCCACGACATCGCCGGGTCTTGCGCGACACGGCGCCATGCCAACGTAGCCTTGTTCGGTGACCATCAGCCGACGCGCTTTCTTTCGCACAGTATCGTGGAAGCGTGAGAGAAAGGTATCGAGCTTGTCGTTCATCTGATGTACGGGATGCGACGGTGGCCGATGCAGTGTTGGAGGGGGTGAAGTGAACTTTGTGGGTATCTGTCGGACTATGTCTTCGAGCGACGAGTTGCCGAACATCACATGACGGTTGCGCTCAAACCATGTTGCAAAGCTCCAGTCGACGGGATCGCCGTCAACACAGGCATGGCAGAGGAAGAGGAAGTCGCTGATGTAGTGATCTGGCGCCTGGAAGCAAAGGTATTTGTCTCGACGATCGATGACCAAGGACCGCGCTATGGCTTCAAGCCACTCGGTAGGCTGCTTTGCGACTCGCGAGACGCTATGCTGGTCTTGTCGCAATTGCATCAAGTCATGACTGGTTTCGCGGCAGACAAAGCTCTCGCATCGCAATTCCCGCTCGTCAAGCCCACCGAGCCCGTGAACAGTATCCAGCACGACACCGTTGCAGTGGAGCTCCTTCAAGTCTTCGGCAAAGGAAACATCTGCCTCTTTCCTCAGTTTCTCTCCCGGAGCATCGTACATTGCTTTCCAGCGTGTTGATCTGAGTGGTCTGAAGTTTCCAATAAGCTCACACGCACTTTGGCTTGCCATCAGCGGCACAGGCGAAGCGAAGTCGATTGTCGTCCTCCAGTCTGGAGCCCAGGTAGGCACATGATTTTGGACGCCGGGGTCGCTGACTGCAGCATTGGCACAGAATAGATGCGCAAAGCAGACAATATCCAGGGACTGATGAACGTTCCAGAAAGAGCGCACAAGCCGCGCGAATTGGTGCGCAATGCTGGTAGTATATTCGGCAGGTCCGATGAGCGCTCGATCTTGTTCAGTGATCAAACCTAGCACGGAGTAAATGCGATCTCTACTGTCGGTAGCGGAGTGATTACCCAGGTACGCCATAATGGCGATCAGATTGATACCGATTGAGGCCGGCTTGGTGTGCCATTGATGAATGCGGCGGCGATTGAAGGCTCCATCAAAGAGCTTCCGCGGAACAAGCTCGTGTTCAAACTCTTTGCTGATGGTGCTGCAAAGGAAGATGCTATAGATTGCACTTTTGAACCTTCCGCGGCTGATACTACCCACGCCACAGTAGAGTTTCGCCTCTTTTGGCAAGACAAACTCTTGTAACGTCCAGACCCTTGTCCACCATGGCCTGGCGAGCAAATTACTGACGGCGACGCACTTGTTGGTGAACTCAGAGTTCTCGAGCTTCTTGCGCATGGCAAGATCGTCTCCGTTGAACCCGATCTGCAAGGTGGACAGGTAGTGCATGAAGTCGATGGCATCAGTGCAGTCGCTACCATCTTCTTTCTCCTCACCCAGCCAGATTATTGCTCGCCTGGCTCTTTTGTAGATGTCTGCCATGATGCGCACCTGTTTCTCGCGTTCGCTGGCATCATCCAAGTTGATACACAGCGAATCAATCCACCACCAGTCTGTGGCCTTGAAGTCGCCATGGCGGGTGACCATGTGAATAAATGGTACCAGGCTGTTTAATATGGGCAGTCCCCCGGTTTTCAGATTGATCTTTGCACCTTTGTACTTGCGCTCGCCCCACACATAGCTGGCTGTGTAGTAATGAGGCGCGCTGGCGATGGGGAACTTCTGCAGCTTGCCAACGAAGACGCCATCTTCGGGCTGCGAGAACCGGAGAAGCCGAATAGAGCTCTCATCGGCGGGTTCTGAGAAGGGTGAGGCTCTGGCTGGCGGTCGCGCGTCAGCTTCCATAGGTGTGCATGCTGCGTGATGGAAGGTGGGACGGTGCGCATGACCGCGGAATTGGCTGGACTGACGCCCCGCTTCAGCTCATTCTTGGCGGCTGCCCCAAGCTCTCGCACCGAGCCGCGCAACGACATCGCAACCGCGAAACAACGGAACAGCAGCATGAATAGAGTGCACCTTAAACTCAGACTGCGATGTAGTCCTTTGGGCAGGTCATTGATATGGTACTTTGGTATACAGTATGATTGCGATAGTTTTGATGTCCGAAAAAGCGAAACAGCGAAACAGGGCGCGATTCGACTGAGAGCAGTAGAAGCTCGATTGGAAATCTTGCAGCTACATACTATGGCCCTTAAATGTCAAGTACTCCGGTCCATTCGCCCGTTCTCTCAACGTCCTGTAGCGCACTCCTACCGACAACCCAACTCTGTCCCTTGCTCCTATCATACCAGACCCTCAACACCCCATGTTCGGCGACCCAATCGAGACCATACATCTCCTGCATATACTCCACCTGGGCCATGATGCAGAGGTCCGCTAATGTGACGTTTGCGCCATCACCACTCAAACTTTCGCTCTTGTTGCCAACCACGTCTCCTTGTATCCGAGCCTCCAACCGCGACAAGAGCATGTGGAACTTGCCATGCGCATGCTTTGCCGCGCTCTCACTCATCTCACCCTCTGTCAAGCCCGACCAGGACAACGTGTTCGGATCCGAATGTACAAGCGCGACGTTGCTCCAAGTGATGACATCGGAGAGCAGGCTCAAGATGTCTCTCGTCCGGGCCCGTTGTTGGATGGTTGCGCCCCTCACGTCCAGATACCCATTGTCCACGCTGAAGACTTCTTCGAAGTACTCCATTATCGCATTCGACTCGTATATCCAGAAGATTGTGCCATCGGCGTATGTGATGCGCAGTGCCGGCACCGAGGTTCCGGTAGGACGGGCTTCGAGGCCGGGGTGGGGGACGAGGTCTGGCGTCGGCGCATCTTTGTCAAGAAAGATGGGGATAAGACGTATGTTCTTCTCGTGAAGCATCGAGGACGTAATGTTCTTTGCGCGGAGGTAGTAGATGATCCGGCGCGGGAACAGGCCCGTCGGCCAGAGCCAGACGGTTGTTTCATGCTGCTGGTTCTGCGACGACATGGTAAGTTGGGAAGGGTGAAGTTGTAGAGTGACCAGACTCATGCGCGTGCCGCATCTTTGGTTTGGCTTCGTGATACGTATATATACATCCCTACATGTACAGGATGGTCAAAAGGAACGGAAACTTTTCGCATACTTCAGGGATTCTGCCGACGTTGAGCCATCTCGAGGGCTGATTACTGTAATGTTTCCGAAGGTTGTCCACCGCGACGCATCATTCCGGAGACTTGAACAAGTCGCCGGGTGCTGGTGTAAAATGATGTCTTCTGATCATAGTGTCAGAATTCCCGTCGGTTGATACCGCAACAGGTTAGGTAAATGCGGACATCTCACGGCCAGCATCGGAATGCGCACAGGTGGTGGATGGAGTGCAGGAGGTGAGACGGCGCGCGAAAGCTCGGGCAAGGGCGGTCGAACCCGTTACGCGCTACATAATCCTTGGCGGCCCTCATCACGCCCGCACGCCCGCCCGCAGCAACACGACGTATCACAACACACCATTGTGTTGAGACAAACCGTCTGTCCATTCCACCCTACTCTTCCTCATCCAGTGCTGCACGAAGACGCGCAATGCGTGAGGCTTGATGTCAGCAGTCGCTTCGTCATCCCTGCGCAATGTTTCTTGCCATGCCGATCCAATCTCGTGTTCATCACCAGGAATACTGCCTACAACGCTTTCGTGCTACACCAACACGATGTCACATGATTAACAGCTATATCGCTACTCTACACGTCTGCCTCAATCCCACTCACACATAAGCCAACCCCTCCAAATCAACCTCCTCCCTCCTCCGTCTAAACCTCAGCCTATTCCCTTTCCACAGCGCCTCCGTCTCGCCAAACAAGAACCTCGATTCCAGATCCGTCCCCTCAGCCAACTCCCAATCGAACTTAAGCAGCAAATGGCACATGGCAATCTTCATCTCATTCGCAGCGAAGAACCTGCCGGGGCAGCCTTGTGCGCCATGTCCAAATGACAGGTTGTTGGGACCGGTGGAAACGAGATGCGACTGGCTGACTGTGGCGCGGTCGGTGCTGGTGCGCATGCGCTGGTAGCGGTATATGTCGTATCTGTGTGGATCGGGGTAGACGGTGGGGTCTGACATGTTGAAGCCGTCGACGGCGATCTGCTCGCCTTTTTTGATGACGAGGCCGGAGGGGAGGACGACGGTGCGTCGGGCTTGACGGCGCATTGTTACTGGGGCAGGGTCAGTTTGGGGTTATTTCCTGTTATCGACCGGATGACTTACGATATGCTGCGGGTCTATACCGCTGCGACTCCTTCAACGCGCTGTCCATCAACGTGAGGTTTGCTAGCGCCGCCTTGGTCAGCCCGTCGGCTGTCAGTACTCTAACGATTTCCTCCCTTAATGCCGCGACGTAGTGTGGTTCGTTCGCCAGCAAGGTGATAGCATGCGTTAGCAGCTCACTGGTCGTATGTATCGCTACGAAAGATAGCGCGATCTGGAAGAGCGCTGGGTCGTACCCTTTCCCTCCGCTCTTCTGCTCGAACCAATCGATCATGTCATTGAAGACAGGTTCCGGTTTGCCGTTCCTCCTGGCTTCGGCTTTTAGAGCTCGACGCTCGGCGAGAAGAGGGGTGAGGATTGCGCGGCATGTGGCTCCGTGTTTGAAGACGTCCTTCGCCTCGGAGGAGAACCAGGGAACGAGGAACTTGAGCGAGGATGGGAGGGCTGTCATCTTGAGAATCATGGTGAAGCTTGCCACCGTGTAGGCCTTGGAAGCTTCGAGCCACGCGGTGTTTCGGCACATGGTGTCGCCGAGAAAGACCCTGGTGGAGAGACGGGCGATCAATTGGAGAATGCTGTCTGCTATAACGGTTTCTCTCCATTCTGCTAGGTGGTTAGCTCGTATCATCTGTTTGAGACGAAGAGGAAAGTCATCTCACCCGTATCTTGGCCGAATATCACGTCGAGAGCATGACTTGCTTCTTCCGAGAGGGGCTTTGTCAGGACGTCTAGAAGAGCCTTGTTAGCTTCAGGGCACACACGTATCTGCTTGCTTCTTACTCAGGTATTTGGTAAGCTGGTCCTTCACAACGTTTTGTACGAGTCTTTGTTCGTGGAGCAAGACAGCATACATCTCAAAGCCGGAAACGTGTCCCGAGAAGTTCTTCTCTATTGCCTGTGCAAAGCTAAGATCCATGCTGTTACGGATCGTTGCTGCATACTCAGGAGGTAGGATAAGACATTCGCCCGTGTCGACAATCAGCCTATAGGGCTGCTTGCCATAGCGTTTCCTCGCGTCGCTCAGTATTGCCCTTCCGTTCTTGAGGAACTCAATTCGTTTTGATAGGGTGGTCTGGTTCCAGCGTGGAGGGTTTGCTAGCGGATGTGTCGGTTTTCCGCTGGTGCTAACGACGACCGAGAGTACGCCTATAAGCCCTAGCAAGATGGCAATCATTGCTGGGAAAGACTGCGCCATGGATACCAGGGACAAGTTTGACGGAGCATATGGGACTTGTGGTAGTCCGTCCATGGATATGTTGGACAGCATCTTTACTGTGAATGGTTGGTCCAGTGCGTAAAACAAGGCGCATCAAATACACTTATACGGCAGTCTCTGATCGAAGGCACTGACAATCCCTGGCGTCACGAACGCTGACCCTGAAAGAAAAGTCTTCATTACGATAAGCTTTGTGGGCTCTTGTCCGGCAACGTCCTCGATTCTCAGCGTATCCGTGACTTCATTGCACAAGGTACCTAGTAATGCGCCCACTTCCAGAGCCGTACCAGTCCACTCTGAACGCCGTATAAACCCACTGTGGATGCTGTATCGAATCAGTTTGGAGGTTGTATCAACCCACTTTGGACGCTGTGTGAATCCACTCATGAGTCGTGGTTCACCAGAGCGATAGCCTCTGGAATCCAACGAAACTCATTGATCGCAAGGCTGTCGATGAGAAGTACATTGTTTGCACTGTATAGGTCGTGTGCGATGTCCTCTCCCGTTCGTCTACGATCATGCAGGCCAGCTTCGCAAGCTACAACTTCTCTTAGGCTACAATGCCTCACGATGCAGACGTGAAGGATTTCTAAAATCGTCAAAATGGAAAGTATGACGATGCCTTATTCCCCTGAAACCTACGTCATGATGGCAGGGTATCGAATCCTTTTTCTTCTTCGTTGTTACAAAATCCCCCGAGAAGAATTCACCGTTGCGATAAAGGCGGAGCCATAGTGGGGACCAGGAAACCATAACAGCGTGTGCGGAACCTGCTGACTGAATTGGTCCAGTAAGGATGTAGCAGATTTGAAATGCGCATGAATTATTTGCAATTGTGCTCGCGCTGTCACGCGGTTGCAATTCTGTGGGGGTTCCAGCACTACCGTTGGATACCTAGGTAGAGACGTGATGGAGAAGGCGCGTAGCGCGGCGCTATCACACAAGTCCCACTTTCCCCATGGCTTCCCAACACAGACATAGAGACGCGGTCGCAGCAGGTGTCTTCTAGGTCTGATCACGCGCGGGTCAGATACTAGAGATACATTTCAGGCGTCAAACCAGTACCCGCCCACGTCCCATCATCCTATAAGACTTCATGTTCAGGTACAAAGACACCAACTCTGGTGAAGGCAAGAGTAAGAAAGATCATATCGCATTAAGCCCATCTCACTAGCTATGAAAGTGAACTCCAAAGCAAACACGATATTAGGCGGGCCTATACACCCGAATAGATAAATCCTCAACACAAAACAGAATCTCTTGTCCCCCTCGGCATTACATCCCTCATTGCATCGCATCATCTCATGCGCCCAATTCGTTCATCCTGCTTAGTACATTGGGTCACCAACAGCCGTGATAGACGCGGTGCAAACGCCATTCTGGCAGTATCCGGCGGGTGTGGCCCAGCCCCAGAGTTCAATCGAGTTTCCGTTCTGGAAGATAGCGTTCGCAGCGCCGGAGATAGTAGCGGAGCAAACCTGGGTACCGCTGAGCTGATCGCAGGTAATAATGAAAGGAGCAGTTGCGGTCACGGGCGCAGTGGCGGTACCGTAGCAGCGTCCACTCTCGCACCATGCTACCACGCTGGTGTTGGTGCCGTAGGTGTTGCCGTCGACGAGGAGGTTGCTGATGGTACCGGCTACGGTGATGTTGCATCTGTAGGACGCGTCGCATGCGCCAGACACTTGGTTATGTGTTAGTTGATTGAACGATTCCGATCTTAGTGGGTGGCATTGTAGACTTACTGAGGCCATAGGCGGCACCGAGGACACCAGAGAAGGCCTTGTCGATCACACCTGGCATAGCGGGCAGGTTGTCGAGCGTGAGCTTGCCTTGGCCCTGGACGGGGGCGGAGAAGGTGGACGGCAGGGCGGTGGGAGCTGTACCCGAAGCGGCTGTGGGGGCCGCTGTGATGGTGGATGTAGACGCTTTGGCTGACGAACCTCCCAAGCTGGCGTCGACGGCGAGCACCGTGGCGGATGAAAGCTTGACTCCTAGAAGGGGCGAGGAAGATCCACCGACGTTGACTCCGAGCAAAGGTGCAGTTGTAGTCGTGGTGGCCGCTGCGCTGCTGGCCTTGGACGAGACAACAGCTACGCTGCTGGCCTTGGAAGAGACCACAGGCGCTGCGCTGCTAGCCTTTGAAACGACTGCGGCACTGCTGGCCTTCGATACGACCGCTGCGCTGCTAGCCTTGGAAGTGGCTACCGCAAGGGCGCTGCTAGTCTTGGAAGTGACCACTGCAACCGCACTGCTAGACTTGACGACGGCCGCTGCGCTGCTGGTCTTGAGAGCACTGGAGGTCTTCGCGGTGGTAGTGGCGCGTGCGTCGAGGACTGGCGCAGCTGCAGCCAAAGCGCTGAAGAGGGTGATGGTAGCGAGGAGCTTCATCTTGATTGATATGATAGACCGAGCGAGTAAGGGTAGCGAGAGAGGAAGCGAGAGAGATGCCGAGGAGGACAAGAGATTAAGAGCGAAGGTAAAGCTGTGAAGCTTGTAAAGCGAGAGCTGGAGATGCTGAGGATGCCTTCTTCATACAGCAGAACTTGCTCGTCTTTATGTCTTTCTCCAAGATAAGAGCCGTCACCCTGAAGCATCCTTGGGCCAGCATCATTTGGATTTCCTCCTCAGCCACGAACTCGATCGATGTCGACGAGCAATGCAAATTGGAGTCTACTGCTCTGGTCTGGCCCTCCTCATCGCGAACGTGCCCCGGATCTAGAACTCTGGTATCCAGAACGGCCACGAAGAACGCTTGGTGTATGCCATCGGGAGTGCGCGAGGCTGCCGGAGCTGGGTACCTGCTTTGTGGCAACTTTGATTGGTGCGGACCCGATCCGCTTCGCGCATTTCTCCTGAGTCGCAACGTCTAAGCACTTCCAAGGTACGGGTGCTGTTCCGCCATAGGCTTGAGTGGAGTACACGATCTGGAAGCGGGCACTAGCGCATTGCGCAAAGGGCTGGCCCGTCGACCTGGTTGCTTGATGATGCGATAAGGCGCCAAGCAGCCGATTTGCATTCCATCGAGCACGGTGATTTTGCTCGAATACCATGTAAAGTTTGGTGCTATGACGGCTAGCACTAGTTCCCGCAACCATAAGTGCTCGCCAGGGATGGTGCCCAACGCGGGGTTGGCGCTCAGGGTGCAACACCATCTCCATTTTTGATGATACTGATGTGCAAACAGGGTAAGGTCCTCTTCCCCATGATGCAGCCGTTGAATTCGACGGAACGTCTTCATGGGTGAAGTGGGTCTTTGATCGACAATCTTCCAGCGCTCTTGTCTTGCTTGATGGTTGAACACTTGACAAGACAGTCCCTCATGGATTTGGTGACTGACAAATACATAATCGAAGCCGTAGCTGTCTGTTGACCTGCAGCCCTCATCACAACGCCTGCAAATGTCCCACTGCAGGTCTAGAGCAGACAAGACACGCCGCCGATATCATGGCACTGCGTTGTGCGACGATAGCGCCTAGAATTGAATGCGCCTGTGAATCAGATTGCAGGTCGAGCTTGTTTCGCGCTGACCGTCGAAAGAGTAATCAGGAGTGCGCGACGATAGCGCGAATGGTGTAGGATTGAAGCCTCGTTCTCGCCGGCATGACGGTATCATAGATCGTCACCACTAGCGTAGCGAACCGTTTGATCGACTTTCCACGTTTGGATCGGCGCAGGGGTGACATTTGGGTAGCGATCGTGGAATTAGTAGGATGAGGAGCGGGACGACTACCGTGCGGACGATTGGGCTGGTGCGCGTGAGTAGCGCGATACGTGCACTATGGATGCGTCTTCCGGAGGCCCCGCCTTACGTTGTGCTGTGGGAGAACTGATATTGTAGACATCCATGGATGAGCTAGGAAGAGCCTGTTCAACCTCTGTTATCGAGCATGAGAGATGGCGAATCTACTCAAGGCGATCAATGTATCTTCGCTCAGATTGTCACACGTTCTCCAGCGATCTGGGTCCTGCTATCGGTTTTGTGTGAGTGCACATTGCCCAGGGCTCCACACACCTATACACATCCATGTGTAATATACCTCAACTTGCAGGCTCAGTCGGCAAGATCCGAGAAGCCTCGAATCGATGTTGCGTCCAAGCTCAGCATAGCGTTATTTGAAAAGACCAGGTACCTGGGCATGCTATGAGCGCGTGGCGTATGCAGGTTGACTAGTGGTATGTGCACCATGAGTGGGTGTGCCTGAAAGCCTCAGCAACCAACCTATAGTCTGGCCCAAGGTCATTCGTCGGAAGTCTTCCCGTCGCGGTGCTACTTGATCGTGGATGTCTCCAATTTGAACCCAGCGGACGACGCACGTAGTATCGCGTTGTTTGGCAGCTGCGTGGATAGGTTCATAGTACATGCACACCCAAGAAAGGCTGAAACCAATGGAAAGTTGAGTGCGTGGAAGAGAGACGGGATGCTCCAAGGACTCTATTCCGACGCGCCTCTAGGGACCGGAGAGGTCGAACACGACCTCATCTGACTGTACAGCGTTAATGCGAACGCAGGTATTTCCTGGTGGAGTAGATGGCGCTGCCCAGCTGTGGACGCCGTGGACGACTCCTAGGCGGAGGACCTCTGCGGTCGAAGCGAAGCCCTTGATCAAGTCGTCTCGACAACACACCGTAACCGGTGATCGTGGTATCCATATGCTGCATGCTCACGCTCAACGACCGCGTCCCCTCCCTCTCCCTCTACCCCTACCACCACCTCTTCCTCTCCCCCCAACCTTCCCTCTCGGCGCCGACCTTTCATAAATCTTGACCTCGTCGAACGGAGCATCGGCAATCCTAAGATAGCTCGGTATGCCATTATCCACTACCGCCACCACCACATTCCTGCACCCATGCTTCAGTCTCTGGTTTGGGTGGCCCCCATCGCCCTTTGGCCTATCCTCAGGCACCTGCGCCATGAGATCATTCAGCTGTGCGCCTGTTGGTATAGGCGTCGAGCGCGCGTCGACGACGCATATGCGGAAGTCGGGCGGCCCGCGGGCGGATTTCTTGAATCGGGCCGTGGTGCGGTAGACGTCGAAGTGGACGCGGTATGGGTTGTCTGGCGAAGGTGGGAGTATGAAGGTGGGTGGGACGGAGCGGTCGTAGGTGGGTATCAGCTTGAGAAGGCGGTAGACGTCGTTGTAGCTTCGGTACAAGCCGGGCTTGATGAGCGGGCCAAAAGCAAGCTGCTCAGATGAGATGTGGTATGTGGGCTCACTCAGTCGCCGCCATAGGTCGGAGAAGAAGCGGGTGACTCTTCCTGGTCCTGTTTCGGTCTTCTCTTCTGTCTTGGGTGGTGCTAAGACGACGTCTCCTCTATCATGGTCCCAGGTTCCTGTTCTGAAGATGACGTAGCCCGATCTCTTCAGTCCTGCGTAGACATTGTACATCTCCAGTGTCAACTTTCCACCGACGCCGCTTTCGAATCCGATGAAGGCGGCATATGCCGACTGCAAGCTCATTGGCGCGCCGTCTTCGGTCCTGTATACTGTCTTATCGCCCACCTCTCGCTTGACCGGCCACCGAACATCCAGTGTCCCTCGCTCGAGCAAGAACAACGCTTCTTCTGGCAACAGCCATTCTCTTCCGCCTTTATTGGTTCCTATCGTCTGGAAGTGCTGTGAGCGGACCTTGTCGACGCATGCCATGTTGCGCTCCGGGTCGTACATGGCCAGGATGTGGCCCTTTTGCGTGTGCGTGCGCTGCCACGAGAGGACGCCGTGCATGGCCCGGCGCGAGGCCTCGAGTGTGTCGAGCTGGAGGTTCGTCTCATGGCTTTCGAAATCCTTTTCGCCGCGTTTGGGTAATGTAGGATGTGCGCTATCTTGTGCTCTGAGTAATTATGTCAGCCATGCGACAAGAGGTAGGTGGGCATGTGAAGTCGTACGTGAGCTTGTCGAGCTTCAGGAAATCTTGCGCTTCCTCTGTGGGGTCGTAGTCAGCAGCGTCAGGTACGCGCAAGTGCGACGCATCCTCGTCTGCGTCAGCCATTGTTATGATATGTAAGCCGTAGCGGGTGTCATAAGTCGGGACTTTGGTGGTGGTGGGGAAGATTTGGAGAAAGTAAAGTTGCGACAAGGATCCATGACTCCCGCGGCGGCCCTTCGCGCTAGCGCCGGCTGACATCTCGCCTATACTTCCCCTATCACTACCACACCTCCTTCACAACATTCGAGCCTAGGAGGACTCATCGTTGCACGTCGAGCTGTCGTCCTCATCAAGCCCGGGAGACAACACCAACAACAATAATTTGTATCAGACCAATGAGTCCACGACTTGCCGACGATCAGAGCGCTCTAGGCATGCCAATAATGCGGAACGCCAGAAACAGTTGGAAGAGCGGCATCGTGCAGTTACCACATGCAGAATCTCGCCCATGACTTATCTGCGTCCGTTCATCGCGGCAGGTAGGCTCAACATGGGGTTGCCAAAGGTTGCATGTCGCGTAAACCCGCCTTGCCAGCCTTGCGCCACTCCACCCCGCAATTTGGGAAACAAACAACCACGCCCCTACGGGACATGCCACGGTTAACAGGTACCTATACCTGTGTGACATACGCTACTTTCCGGGTCAGAAGGGCGCGAAGTGGCAGCCGTAACTATCAAATCGGAAAATAATGGCACTCACTGGAAGCCTCGCGTCACGGCCGCGTGGTTCGTCGAGCAAACTCACTGGAAGTTATAATCCCATCCCCTTCGTCTCATTTCTGGTCTCACACACAGTCTACGTTCAGTCAAATCATAATAAGATGGTGTCGCCTCCCACTCTTATGTTTCCGTCTCTGCACGAAGACGTCTCAAACGCAGTATCGCCACACATCACTTGGCTCACGTTCAACAACACAAACACCAGCGTAGGAACAAGCAAAGAGTATTCTACCTTCGCAATGGGTCAGTTCCGCTGTGACAACACCACGTGCGAAAAGGATGCATGGAGAAGCGGGAAGATCACGATACTCATACGGCAGTATCCGAACGGCAGCTACAACGCCGAGGTGTTCAAACAGCGGTGTAGTGAATGCGGCTGGCGCGGAAGACTGATCATGGATGAGGCTTCTTATGTTGAAAGGGTTTCGTACAGGCTTTTGAAATGGAGCGGGGTGCAGCAGGAGGTGCAATCTGAGCATGCACCGAGGCAGACTCCACCACACGATCAAGCTAACTGCGAAGGGTGTAGGCAGAGTGTTTAGCATTTTTTTTTTCTCTAAATGTAAGCTGCCTTAGGTATTACTAAAATAATTCTCTAAATTTAATAAGTATTCTACCTACTTATCTAATTATATATAAAACTATAATAAAATATTAGTATATAATTTATTAGTTAAAGTATTAAAGTTAGTACTTTAGCTTACTAAGCTCTAATTTTATAAACTAACTTTATTTTTAATAAA